TTAGCGCATTTAATCAATATATCAAAAGCATTTACTCAAAAGGAAATAAATCTCATATCTTTCTAATTGCACCGAATCTTTAAATTTTAAATTGAAATTTACTAATAATTCGAAGTCACCATTTAGTATCATATTTGTATTGGTTCATCTTAACTGAAACGGAAAGTTGCAGTTTATTTCAGTACTTAATTGCAGTTTCGGTCAGTCTGAAATTAAGACAAATATAATATTTGTATTTCTATTAGCATACACGAAATATTTTAGATTTTATCGTATTCCTATTAACCATTCAACTTCTCCGGTTAAATTTCTGAAAAATGTATAAAAATCTGATATAAAAAAACTAATATTAATTAAAGTGTCTTGAGTTAAAAAAGTGTAGTGTAATTTACGTAGATAAAAATAATTAAGTAAATACAAGTAAGTTAATAATTCAAGAATTTAAGTGTTTTAAATAATATTTTAAAGTCGTCGTTTACAGAAGGAATTTCGTTGTTTCAGGGGGCTGAATGCACTCAGCCTGAGTCGTTAAAAATAATCCAAATCTAAATAAATACGTATGTATTTTTTTATTTTTTGAAAAGGGGATGATCTTTTAATGATGGTGAAAGCGGTACATGGTACAAAACAGGTTGATAACCATTGACTTGGAGAAATATAAATATTGTTAATGATTCCGAAACAATTATATGAAAAAAATATGTTAATCGATCGTTCAACTACATTTGAGCAATTGTTTTTTTCTGTAGGGCAGTTGCGCTTTTCTTTGAAGACGGAATGAAGCTGAATTATTTTCTTTAGCTTCACAATTTCTTTCATCAAGTATGCTACATATCAAGTAAGTCTGGACACGGAAATGAAATTATTTATTTTTTATTCGTTATTTCATGTTTGAAATTTTCCTTTCATATCTGTCAGATTTAAAGTATTAAAATTTGCTTCGCTTACGACTTTTGGAAGAAACTGTGATTGAATTCTTTGGACATGATGTATCCCAATTCAATAAATAACACTTAATAACCACCACGAAATAAAATCATGTTTTTATTTTAGTTCTACGAGTGTTTAAATGGATAAGACAGCTAAAACCTGATAGTTCGACGTATTACTCATAGCAACTGTTTGGTTTCAAGTGATTTCACAGCTTTTCCCACTTGCAGCGTAAATAGAACAAGTTTTCCTTAGTAAGTCCTCTTCGAAAGCATTTCTTAAAGACTGATAGTCCGTGCTTGCTTTGCGTTAATTAGTTAACCTATAATAGCATTTCTTCCATAAAATGTTTTTTTGTAAAATCTTACTAATCTTACATGCCCAAATTTACAGTCGGGAAAAATGTTTTTAACTGTTATGTATATTGAAGGAAGGATATTGTTATGTTAGGATTCGGATATTGTTATCTATTTGCCCAAGTTCTTGCCATTTGTATGCGAGCACACAGAAAATACATTGATTATTATGATCAATAGCCGGTTTGTGTTATCAAAATACAATAGCAAAAAATTTTTCAAATTGAAGAAAAGTCTGTAATAAAAGTTTGAATCGTCAATAAGGCCAAAATAAGGCAAAGGAATTAACAAATAGCACAGAAGTGTTACCAAGTCAGGGATTAAGCCGCCAAGCATCTTGATTTTGATTTAAGGCAACTATGTACAAAAGGTGAACGTTTCTTAAGTTTTAGGATAGTCGACTGGCCTAACCAGTTTAATGAAATGGAATTAGAGACGACATTGCTTTTTCATGTCAAAATATCTCTTCGCCCTCTTTTTATAACTTGCCATTTTTATGAACGGTCTATTCTACAAAACGCTAATTTTTTATTCTGCTTAATCGTTTCATCTTGGATTCGACCAGAAAGCTCAATGATCTAAGGAATAAAATCGGCTTCTTAACCGCTATGGCCAACTCTGAAAAACTAGAAACTAGTAACGGAATGCTGCTCTTACGTTAAATATTTCTCAACCCGCCTTATGCAAGACTCTGAAGAACTATGAAGGTATTATTTGTAAAGCAAAGCAGAAAATAAACGGATGTGTGGCATAAAAGATCCCAGTGTTGAGAAAGCATTTAAGATTCTGTTTACAAACTTTCGTGAAAAGGATGTGGCAGTCAACGGTCCATTGATTGCCACAAAGCTAAAGAACTAGTGTAAGCACGATTGTAAATTATTATATTGTTATTACACAGAATAAAATTTGAGAACAATTTGGGAAAAGTGATTTTTTAGAAAGCGAATTCATCTTGGTTGATTTAATCGATTTACAAAAACATTAACGAAAAAGATGCTGATTCGTTTCTGCAGGAACATGGTTGAATGTCATTAATGAAATGAGAATGGCCTAAATTATCTACAAAATACTCTCCTGAAACTATATATTATAACACCAACAAAACAGAACTATACTGTCGTGCTTTGCCTAGATTTAACATTGAAAATTCAAAAGGATTTAATATATCAAAAGATCGTGGTACCATTTTATTTCCATAAATACGAGTAGTAAAAGAAAAAAAAATAAAAAATCTTAAAGCTTTCAGATTTTACATTACGCCAAATTTTTTTTAAACGTTTCGTGTTACCTTTATTTAACTTTTTCTCCCTGTAACACGCTTTCGAAAATTCATTGTGGAAATATTGTTGGGGCTGGGTCTTATGATCTTCAATATTGGGATACCTCATACGAACACTTACTATAAATTTACTTCCTTGAAAGAAATGTTTATATCTCTAGAGGCTTACATTTAAAAACTGCAGCTTATTTTTTATACAATTCATACGAAATTATAGTAAAATGAAGAAATGATTAATTTTTATATGATATCAGAACATATATTAGGAATTGAAAATGGATTAGAAAAGAATAATAAATTAAAGTACAATATAAAAATAATGTCAATTACTAATATATTATTTACTAAAAATGTATTTAAGGTATGTATTATTGATTACGAAATGTATTTCAGGTATGTATTGTTTATTAAGAAAACTTAAGTCCCTATATTCTTGGAAGTTTAACAAACAAATAAAAAAATCTATGTTAAATTAAAATGTTTGAGATATTGAAAATTCAAATGTCTGAAAGTGAATTATTGAAACTTTCTAATTACCCATTTTATCTAGGTGATTACTGCTGTTAATTATTTCCTTAATAACTAATTAAAGAAACTAAAATTGTATTCCTAATAACATGTTCAGATTTATGATAGGAAACATGTAAATATTTTTTATACATTGGAGTTTTAAAATGATATAATTTAATGCTTTAATTAACGCATTTTTTCAGTGCTATATCGTTTCTAAGGATACATGAAATGGTGACTTTGAGGTTTACATGTATATAAAGAAAAATTAAAAGCAAAATCTCTCGTTTAAAATTGCAGCACACGAAAAGCATTTGGCTACATTTCTACAGTTAAAAAACATATTCATTTCTAAATTTAATTATTTTAAATATAAAATGGATGATAACAAATTTTTACCATTTATTTCTAACTTATGAATTGTAAGAAAAATATCTAAAAATTTGCAAAAGAAAACGTGTAAAGTTCTGTAAGTAATGGGAAAAATTGTCAAAAGTCCTATAAAAGTGTAACATCAGAAATCAAAAAGAAATATAATGACAGGTTTTGGCATTAAGAATCCAAATAATAATACCTGAACTTTAATAAGCAAATAATAATACCTTTGCTTTTTAATTTTGAAAATTATAACAAAGCATATTTAAATAATATTGATAAATAAATATTGTCATTGAGTTTTACAATACTGCAGTTTCATCTGAAATAGTTAAATGGAAGATGCACTGATTCTGTAAAAAAATTATGCATTCATTATATAAAAAGTATTTTTCACTTAAGTCTCGCAATAATACGTAGTCAACGAAATGTTCCATAAAATTGCCGGCTTTTTGTTTTCAGAACTTTGGAACATCTTACAAATAATAATAATTATGTTTTATAATTTTCTGTAGTTGAAAAGTTAAAAATTACCTACTAAAATATCGAAATGTACAATAAAAATTTCACTGTGATTAGTAAAATTATAATTTAAAGAACATTAAAAATATTTTTAGATAATTTGAGAGGAAAGATAAATTTAAAATATTCTATAATTTAAACGAAAATTTTAATTTTACAGTGTATTCAATCTATAACGTACATGTTCAAATTTAGAAAGCTGACAGAGGTTTATTTGTAAATCAGATATACTATTTATTTTACTTCATTTTTTCCACATGCAAGAAATAGCCTGAACAATTTCAACGTAGACGCCTGGAGAAATTTGTTTTTCATTTATTAGTAGACAATTCTCTTTTAAATTTACAGAAAAAATATTTAGCATATAAATGTGCATATCATTTCGGAAGCGTCTGTATACTTACTAATCACTTCTTTGCCTGATATGCTGGATTCCTTTATAAATTTCTAGAGAAAATATTTCTTTGCTTAACAGAAATCAGAAAACAAGTTTTCTTTTAATATATATAATATACAGCTGAAAAAAGATATTTCTGATAAATTTCTATAAATGCTAACACATAATGAAATGAAAACTTGAATGCTAAATATAATTAAAGTCTCAAATATATTAATAAAGTTGGTAAAAAATATCATAAAAATTCTCATCCTTAAAGGAAACTTCAAAATCAGTGTTGCAATTTAAGTGGCTGTTTAACAAACTAAAAACATAATATTAAATTTATACAAGATGTTATTAATATTTTCATTAAATTTTTAAGAGCAGATAAGGTAGACACATTTAATTAAAACTATAGTTAATATTGTAAAGCTATAATGTTTTTAATTTTATTAAATGTGATTAAAATATGAGATTTGAAAGAAATATATAAGAATTATATATTTATTTTTAGCTATTTGATATGAGAGTTTTTATAATTTAAGTTTTTTTTATCAGTAAATTGATTACAAATTATCCTTGGAATGCCGCTGAAATTCATTAGCATTCCAAGCTTATTAGATGAGGAACTCAAAAGTTCTCACTTCAGTGCAGATGTATGTACTTTTTATTACACAAAGCTCACAAAAATGGAATAAAATCATAATCTCTTTGTTGCTAGTAGTTTTTTTCATAAAGAGATTTAAAGTTTTTACCTGTTGCTTCAACGTCATTTATACAAGAAAGGATAGATATTATATCTACCCAAAAACGTATTGAAGAAGAGGACAAGTTTTACATAATATATGTTTGTATAAAAATACCAGTCTTAAATACTCTTCTTCATAAAGTCTCCATATGGTGACAGATTAATGATAGAACGTTTGATCAAAAAAGTTTTTTCTTGCAATGAAGATTATATTTCATAAGACCAAGACTCCGAATTTTAGTCGAATAGTTTTCAATAAACACGACAGTTTTCTGTTGTAGAATGTGGCAATAATTCTTGGAGTTGTGGATCAGGTAGAGCGTCCCTGTTTGGATCGGCCGATCCTCCGCCGTTTTCCATGATGTAGTATAACTTATTTCCCAAACCGTGATGCGAATTTGTTCTCAAGCCAACAGTTCCTTCGGTGAGTGTCACAATGGAGACTTCATCTTTCTGTGGATAATAAGAAATGCTACTACTGCGGCGCATGTTTCTGTGCTTGACTGGTTGATATCGGTGACGAAGACGAAACACAGTAAATGCCGTCAGCACTCCAGCTAGAAGTAAAAAACAGCCTCCTGCCAGACCAGCTGAAACTGCTATAGTAGTAGTGTGATCCCAACCACTTTGTTCTCCAGTTACAGTTACAACTCGAAGTCGCGAAGATAGGACACGTCTTTGTGGAGATACTGTCTGAACACTATTGTTCCTGAAATCATCGGAACTGTTACTTACGTCACTGAGCTCGGAAAATTCCGAAAATGTTTTCATCGTTGTAGATGTCAGTGAAACACTGACTTCGCTAGTATGAGTATTTTCTGGAGTTAAGTAATGAGGTTGCGTTGGTGAGACAGTAGTATCTTCTGCAGAAGTAGTGGAAAGCATTTCAAGAAGAGAGCTCGTTGGTGAATAACTTTCAGGTGTAACACTAGTTAGATAAGCAGGAATTTGGCTGTTTTCTTCGTTATTTACAATTTCATATTTGTATGGATCGGCAGACATCGAATTTGGCTCAAGTGCGTTTGTTATATGCGATGCTACGTCTGACGGTGTTATTGTTTCTTCATAACTCATTTCTTTTTTCATACTTTTATATGACGACAGCGTTGTCGTAACAGATGAGCTAAAGAGAACTGTAGATTCATTTACAATCTCAGTACTTTTTACCGAAACAATGACTGAAGTAGTTTCTGTACTCACTGTTGCTTCTAACTCAATCGTTGACGTTTCAAAGTCAGTGTCTGTCAGCATCATCAAAGGCTTCAACTGGATATTCTGCGGTGTAGCGCAACGTATGTTATAACTGCTATAAAACTGAACATTGGATTGTCTTATCCAGTTGGAGAGCCATTTTATATCTTTATCACATTGCCACAAATTTCCGCTCATCTTGATAACTTTCAGGGCAGGGAAAAACGAGGGAAAGTCAGATCGTAATTTTATTATGCGATTATGCATAATATTTAATTCTTGTACGTTTCTCAAACCATGCAACATGCGCGTTGAATTAACAATGGTTTGAACAAGTAGTGAACTATCGTATACCTCTAAGTTTAGGAGACTGTGTAGAGCGTCAAACATCGCTTCATCTAATTGAACGTTTGTTGGAACTCTGGACATCTGCAATGTAGTTAACTTCGAAAGACTGTCAAAACACCGCGCATCAATTATTTTGAGATTATTTTGAGACAAATCCAATGTTTGTAGTTGAGTCAAATTTGCGAACACGCCGGAAGTTAAATTTTCAATTTGATTTGCTTGTAGATCCAAGTTTTTTAAACTGATCAGATCACAAAATACACACGGCGATAGATTCCGAATTTCATTGCGCTGAAGAAATAGTTGCTCAAGTTGAGTCAAGCCTTTGAAACTATAACTTGGTAAATCTGTCAGTTTGTTTTCCTCCATATACAAAGCCAAAAGACTTGGTGGAAGATTAGGAGGGACTTTTGTGAGACAATTACCGTTCAGCCATAACCTCATGAGGTATTCTTGCCTTCCGAGAGCATCATTTTCGATTTCGCTAACACAGTTGTCATCAAGAACCAGCAAACCTAAATAAGGATAACTATCAAAATCACCCGCGCTGATGTGAGTGAGGTTGTTTTTTGCTAAACGCAGATCGCGAACGAATTTCGTTAAGCTCTGAGGAATTCTGTCCAGTCCAACATGGGAGATATCGATGTACTGAAGTCTGGAACCAAAAAAATCTAGCCTTGAGAGAGTTGTGAGGGGATTGTTACTGATGATGAGATGAGCGAGATTCGTTAGGTACTGAAACGTACCTACTTCGATGGCAGAAATATTGTTGGCATCTAAGTTTAAGTACTGAACTTTGTGAAGTCCCACAAAAGTACGTGTTGTTAACTGGGACAATTTATTGTCTCTTATGTTGAGTTGTTCAAGGTTTAATAATTCCACGAAAGCTTCTTCTATGAATTCCACGAAATTAGATGACAGATCTAGGAGACGCAAACGTCGTAGATCTTTGAATACTGAGTAACAGAGTACAGCTAAAGAATTCTGACTTAGATCAAGCTTTTCAAGTTTCGTATTCGATACAAAAGTTGAATTTTCTACGGTCTCGATGCGAGACTGTTGAAGTTTCAGCTCCTGGAGTTCAGTTAGGCTGCTAAAATCTTGTGAAGAGATTTCCGTGGTCAGAAAATTTCGTAATTCGAGTCTTTTAGTAGTTGGTGGAATGTCCAGCGGAAATCGCCATAACCCATCTCCTACACAACTCACATAGTCACCAGTGGCATCGCAATAACAAGAACTCGGACACGGAACAGAAGTGCTGGAAACGTCTTTGACATTCAAGAGAATAAAACTAAATATCCAGGACAGTAGCATTGCGAAGGTTTTCATAGTTTCTGTGGTTTTGCTATCTACTAGCATATTAAATTTCAATAAATAAAATAAGATTGGTTACACCGTTTTCTGATGTTAACTTGCAGAGTTTACTCCTTAGATATACACTGAAGAGAAAGAGTCAGTATAAGTGCTCTCTAAAGATCAAAAATACGCTTTCATAAATTAAATGTAACTTTCCCTTAAAGCAGATTTCCTTAAGTCACCATTACTCATAGCACTATCACAGCGTAAATTTACACACAGAACTTAATGTCAGTACAAGAAGAAATTTAATGTTACCTTTCAAAGGTAAGTTAATCCTTAGAGGTGTAAAAGTTTTGCTGTTATTCAATCAGCAAGTATCGTATAGATCAAAGAGACATGCATAGCTATTTGATCAAACTTTTTACTTCACTGAATGCGCTCGAAACATCTATTGACTTTCAAACCCAATTTGCTGCCAGGAAATTAAAGGAGTGTGAATGAGCTTTGAACGAATACTTCCGGTGGCGCGCAAACTGCAGCCGGAAGTGTTAATATCTTTTTTCCTATTTGAAGCTAAACAAACTTTGAAAAAGCTAACATCCTGTGGCGCTGGGGGCGGGTAGTAATACTTTCTCCCTTTCTCCTTGACTTTGGAATCCACGTTTCCTGCGGCTGCTTCAGAGACCCGGATGAGCCGCCATTAAACCTCATTAATTACTTACTATCCGCAGCATTACTCCACATAGTTTTACCTTAGCCCTAATGTCAGTTTTCGCAGTGTTATTCATCACAGCTTGGCTTTCATAAACATCAGGAGACTCACTTTGTAGAACGTGATTTGCTTCAAGAATATTATGCTAATATCCCAGTCTGTCGGATTGCTGAGTTAAGACCTTAATATATGATTCGAGATTCGTTTAATGCGCATCAGACATTTCGTTAACTGTTCTCTTTCGTTTCACTGCTAGCTTAATTTCTGAAAAATTCGGTAGAACTCTGCAGGCCTTACTCTTCAGGAAGAGTAATAATTTCAATTTCAGCATACATTTACAGTTCTCATTAAATGTGTTATAACTTTATGATAACGTTTTGTTTAAATATATGAAGTGTTTTATTTTTAATTAATATTAATTAAGAGTTTCTCCGAAATAATGAAGAGATTTTTTGGTAGTCGAGAACTTTATGCTTCGCTACACAAATACGCTCCCAGATATTTCACATTAATGCAGAAATTTGATAAAACACCTGTCTCAGATAGGTGATACACCTTTCTTTCTTTCCGGATGCGGGCAGCAAATAGTTATCTCATAATTTTATCAATACTGTGAGTTGACGACATCTGCTTCGAACATTTTTCACGATGGATAATTTCATGAAAATTCGGTGATCAGTGAAACGTGTAACTAATTAGATCTGAAATTATTCTAAACTGAAAATATCCAATATAGTGCAGGGAAATGAATTGTCTCCTTTAAATTTGCTTCGCTATTAATTGATGTAGTTTCAGGTAAATAAGTGCTTTTAAAGCATCATTCTTATTGCTGCTTGATTTTTAATTTGAGTAGGCTGTTCTCTTGATAGAAAGTATTTTCTTCAAAAATGGTGGTAATTTCAATCCACAACATCACCTGAAAAAGATAATATGAAATGAATTAAATCATTCAGTACAACTGTTTATTTTTTTAAATATATGGAAATAAATATAATAATAAGTAATTTTTTAAATATATGGAAATAAAGAAATATAATCTTCAATAAGGAGAAATGCTATCTATAAATAATACAAATAGCATCCTTATTTAATATTAGAAATGAAATAAATTACCATATCTGATTTTAATTATATTATCTACCTGAAATTTTTCTCTCTGTTTCTAAAATTTTTATCGTGGTTTATTTCAGTACATAACGTGAAATAAATTACTAGAACAGAATTTCATGTTATCACATTTATGCAAACGATTAAGTAAAACTTAAAAAAAAATAGACACATTTTTAACGAATAAACAGAAAATATATACATTTGCTGTTTGCTTAAAAAGAATGATTAAAAAATTATGAATAAAAAGCTATAAATATTATTTATAGATTTACTATTGAAGAAATCACATGTAATCCCTAAAAATAGCCAAAGCATTATACATATAGTTTAACATTTAAGCAATCAAGGTGTACATTTGGATTTAATCCAGAAAAAGTTAAATGACATTTTATACTTTATAGTTAGTTTTTATTTTTGTCACTATTTAATTGAATTCTACATTTTTAGCTTCAGTGGGACATAATGAGCCTTCATATTTACTTTAACACACAATGCAATATAATAATAGTTATTCAATATTTAATATTCACAAAAATCTCTAACTTTTAAAATCAGAATTATATTAATACTGCTCATTTAATCTTTTAAACCTTGAAGTACTTAATACTAATCAGACTAATTTTCTTCAAAATAAATTTCGGAACTAGGATATATTTAATCAAATAAAAAAATCATAAATTTCTTTATTTTCTTTAAGCTTCTGTAGAATTTGGTAAAAATAATTCTCATCGAAAACTCTGTCAATTTAAGCACAAATAGAGAAAGAAAAAAACTATAGAGAGGGTTAAAACAGCCTTTTATATATATATATATATTATATATATTATATATATATATATAAACTATCTTTAAAGAAACATTTATTTAAAGTTTTCTTTTCAAATAGCTTAAACATGTTTACAATCAAATGAAAGAAACCTTTGATTGGTGCTTTGTATGATTTAAGTTAGCTTAGGGGAAACAAAGACGTAATTGTTTATAAATAAATGGACTGTGAAGAAAACGAAAATTAACTGCGAATAAAATAAGGCGTCTTCATAAACCAAGACAGAACTAAAGGTAGAAATAAAAAACATCTAAATAAACAACGGAATAAGTAATTATAAGCAAAGGGAGCTTTAAATGCGTTTAATTAGAGCCCATGTTCGTGTTGTAGAAGCAAAGAACTAATTTTTTAGGTGTTTTAGGGACTCAAAGATTTTGTAAAGCGCATTCCAACTGATCTGAATTATAAATTCTGTTCTTAGGAGCATTACATGTATTTATTTACGGTTTTTTTCAGAAATCCTTAAGCTTTCCATCTTGCAATTTTACAGACTTTTAAAAAAAAAATTAGGATCATGAGTGGTTTACCGTACATAAACTGGTTGATGGAAACTACTTCGTAGATTATAAGGTGTAAGGTGCGAGTATCATTGCACATATATCAGAAAAATAGAGAACGTGAGTTAATATACAATTTAATTAACATTTTAGTGCAAATGGGGAAGTCTCATGCCGTATAAATAAAATAAATAGCAATAACATATAAATATAAAAGAAATGTATACGATTATTTACATAGATTTATTACGTATATTTTCACTAAAAATTTACCTATTCTTCGAACAAGGAAAATGAAAGCTACATTTTTATACATAGAATTAAGAGACTGGAAAATTTTCGCTGATTTAAGCTTGCTATTTTACGATTGTGCTTATTAACTGCCAGTTTGTGATCTTCGGTGGTAAGACTGAGAGCCAACTCGCGTTAATTATCTCTGTGCAACTTCGACTGAATATTTAACGCTTTAATTTTATATTTCTACTTTGAGTTGCAGCAAAAAGTATTGGCTAATTTTGTAAGCACCGAGAATATTGTTTGTAAATTCCTTCTTGAGTTGAATAAAAGGGTCTTTTTACCCTTCTTACGACTTGGAATTTATACAGTTTGAACTCAGCGAATAGTCGTTCAAGTAAAGATCTAGCGAGCAAAATGAAGTTAATTTATCCAGAACCTTACATAAGTAACACCATGTCTTTTTCAGACAAAGTCTTTTGACTGGTGAAGACACATACTGGTTACATGACATCATAATGTGATCTATTAAAATCATATTGAAACATCTAAATAATACTTTGTGAGAATTTTTGATTTAAAAAATTTGATGTGTACACCACATGACTTCCTTGTACGAAATATTAAATTATACGCATTTTTCTTGCATTTCATTTAAACTTATTGGATTGAATTAAATCTATTTCGCCGACAGCGCATAAACCACAATAGAATAAATGCATTCTTTAAAATTCACTCCATTTGTTTACCATAGCGACACTCTGGTGCTAGGTTCACTTAACAGTATTATATTTCGTTCATAACTCACAATGTACAAAATTTATATCATTTAAAGAATGATCTAATCGTTGCCATATGTTCTATTCAAATACTATAATAAAGCTAGAACGATGTATAAAAGAAATTAAGCAAAGAACAACAATAACAAAAAAGAAACAGTTTTTTCACAGACGATTGAGTATTTCTCATTCAATTAATTCAGTTCTCACTTCGCGACAAGGCAAAAATACATAAAAATTCAAAATATCTACATTTAAAATTACGAAATAAATCTGAAACACTTATTTCTTCGAATAAATTTCAGAATGGATTAAGCATGATTTAACTCGCAATAATAAATGAAGGCGTTATCTTTCTTTCTTGTTGCGAAGCTAAGTTTCTCTAGATTGGCAACAAATTCACTATCCTTCTGTTTCAAATGTAAACAAGCAATGGCTGCCATCTAAAAAAATTATTAAGCTTAGCGGCACTTAAACAACTTTAAAATTGTTGATAATTCTAAATATATTTCATACAGATTTACTAAAGGCATAAAAATCTTAACCGGAAGATAAGAACAACATAATTCAATCATTTTTAAAGCAAAAAAAAAATGTACAATTTCCAACATATAAGAAGTAAAGAACGGAGATCACTGAGCCGGGTAACAGAGTGTAATATATATAAATATATTTATATACGTTTGGTGCGGCCGATTGCAACCAAAATACGAGGTGTACATCTACATGTTATAGCAGACCTATATACAAAATTTCAACGTTCTGAGTCTACTCGTTTTTGAGTTATGCGAGATACGTACGTACGTACGTACATACATTCGTACAGACGCCACGAAAAATTCTCTTCAGAATTCATTTTAAAGCAATTTTATAATTTTTTTGGAGGAAAAGAGTATTTTGTTCTGTCTTTACGTAAAAATATCACGCAAAAACATCGTTAAATTGCATTCGATAGCGGTCAAAATGGATATTTTCGTTGAAATATGGTGCCTGAATCTTTTAGCGATTACAATACTTCCTTTTTACTTCGTACAAGGAAGTAAAAAAGAGCGAAGAGCAGATTTAATGTACAGTGGAAACTTCAGGATATTGTAGTCGTCGTAATCTGAGGGATCTATAATCTATGTGAGTACTCTAGGACCAAGACGAATAGTACACTTGGTTAAGTGATATTAAAATAACTGAAACTTGAATGTACTACCCCATCTCGAAGAAATGTTACTCCTTTAATTTTCTCGAAACAATTTTAGAAAAGCAAAATATTAAACTGATCAATTATGAACACGGTTTTATTTAATACTTGTAATTATTTATATATTTTAATCAGTTCTTTTACGAATTTAAACTTTTTTCTAAAGCTAAAAATAAGTATTTCAAAGTTACTTTGAATTAAATGTAAAATAATTGGGTTTTAACATATTTGAGATTTCATGCTTAAAATGATATATCAGAGAGAAAAAAAGTGTAAAAGTAAATTAACTAATACATATTTATATTAATATAGGAAGGGTGGCCACAGCGCGACTTTCGCAGGCTAGAGGTGCGGCTCTCATGCAAATAAAATAAATGTGAGGAATTTTGTAAATTAAAATTAATCACATTATTTAAAAGGAAGTAATTAATTTATTTCATTTTTTACAAAGTTATTAGCAAATTTAGACTGATCAATGTACAAGTGTAATTATTTTATTTCATTTCTTGTTAGTTAGGAAACTCAATAATGTTATTCAGAAACATAAAAATAAATAAAATTATTGTACTTATTCCATCAAATATTCTAGTCTATTTAGTTACATTTACTTATGGATGCTTTACAAATGGATGGATGGATGCTTGTGTATGCTTTAGAAGAAAAGTAGAAACTAAATTGAGTTGATCTATAAATTGAGGTGATGTGAGCGGAATAGAAAACATATGTAATGCATCAGAAACTTTTAGCATCATACAGAATTTGATGCGCATTAAAAGTAATTTAGGTGTTAATTCTACGTCTGAATTGATGAGAAATTTATGGTAACTACACTCATGTTCATAAATTAAGGATAATTCGGAGTCACGCGGAAATCGAACTCTAAAATAAATATATCACCTGTAAAATCACTACACACATCTTCAAGAATCATATGGAAATTTCAGGAAGTAAGCAGATGACACCGATGGTACGTCACAATGACGAGAGTGTAAGAGAGTGATATGTAAGGAAATACAGGCAAAGAAGTAAAATTGTTCGCAGGCGCTTTATAAGCATTTCAGTGCAATAACCGAATAGTTATGACACAAAGGACGCATTTGGATGATTTTTTACGTGGTAGAATCACCCAACTGGAAGTATCAGAAGAACTTGGAATTGCCCAGAGTGTCACCTCCGGGCTTTGGCAACGATTCCAAGATGATGGTAATGTGAGTAGACGTTACAGCGCAGGTCGCCCCAGAGTTACAACGCCAAATGAGGACCGATATTTGGC